TATCACCAGTTTCACCAGTATCACCAGTATCACCGTATCACCAGTATCACCAATGCTGATTGGTGATTGGTGATTGGTGAAAACTGGTGCACCATCATAAATTAGTTTCACCAACAACTCTAAACTCAACCTTATAATTTTTCACAGTAACTTTAACCACGTCTATAATATCTGGGATAGTGTGCAAGATCTATACCAGAATTTTTTACAGCAGCTCATGGTAGAAATTACAATAATCAAATTGTATTATTATTCGCTAAACCTCTTTTGGAATATTCATAAGAGTGTATTTTTAGTTTTTTTTGCGCAGTAAGTTACCTTCCATTTTTGGCAAATTATTATTGATATTTCAATCAAAATGTTTATTCAATCTGGTGGCTTAAATCAGTTGTTGTTGTCATTAATATTGCTAAAAAATAATTAATGATTTGATCCATTTTCAATAACTGGTTTTTCACGTTTGCACATTATGTTGGGTTGTCTCGTTATAGGTGAAAGCAATGGTTTTATTATTGAAATTAATAAAGTTAAAACCATTTCTCAGCTTAGAGATATAATAAAAAATGACAAAAAAAAGAACACTTTTGCCAATATCGACGCCAATGAACTCACATTATTTAAAGTTAACATATCTGAAAGCAGAAAATGTGATATTCATCCAGGAATCGATATTAAACGAGATTTTGGAGGCGTAGAATTGGTCAATGATTTTGATTCTGTTGAGGAACATTTTGGTGTAAACCCTGCTGAAAAGCATATTCATATAATTATAAAACCACCTACAAATATTGGTAAGTATCTCTTTTGAAGAATTTGTAATCATCCGATCTTACAAGTATCAAATTAATTTTTCTTGTATTAAAGCGAGATCTTTTCAACAAGGCTATACACAAGGTACAGAGCCCTTCTTCACACTCATTAATAATCTACTGATAATAATATCCATTCCCTATTACCGTTCCTAAAACTTTCAGTTACACCACTTGAGCCCGATATTATTTTCAAAGATTTCCTAAATAGTGAACATGGTCAATTTCTCAAACATTACATAGAAAAAAATGACCAATTACCATCATATAATTCAAAAATACCACTTAAAACAGCAGTGCCTGTTACTTATTCAGGTGATCGGCCTTCACTCCTACTATACAATCTTCCTGGAGGTAATAATATACATCAGCCAATTACTCGGGTTTCAAATATTCAGTCTACAATTTCAAAAGCAAAAAATAACCTTTTAATTCTGTTGGGGACATCGGGATGCGGAAAAACCAGGACATGTTATGAGTTACTATGTCATTGCTGGGGACTTTATTTTGTAGCAGCGTGCAAGGGGAACGGGGGCTCAAGTGATATTGAAGCAATCGAGAACTACCTTTTAAATAAGATGACAGATAATTTTGAAGAAAACCGCAATAAGGCAATTCATATTGTCCGTTGTGCAATTCTT